TACGTGATAAAAACAACAGATATTAGGAACTAGAAAGCAGGAGTATCAATAGTTTTGGCCGGCACTTTCGAATGCTCTGCACTTATGTCCCCAATGGACAATGTGCTTTGCCAAATTGTCGAATTCATAAAACATGAGCGGACGTTTCTGGTGCCTCTTGCATTTAATCCTTTAGCAGTGTAGTTTTTTTGTGCCATCTGTCCAGATCCATCCAGACACTGGATTGGCAGATCTCAAGATGGGCATTCACGAGGAAGAAAGCCTGAGGCAATTGTCCCAACAACTGGTTTGTATTCCATTTATTTTAGTCGAAAAATTAGGCGAAACGTTCACGGGTGTTCCAAACTTTGTTCTGAGACAAGGTTCAAAGTCGCAGAATTCTACCCACTGTAAGGTCTTAGCCCAGTGATACCGGGTCCGATCAGAGATCAACAAGACAAAGCAATACAGCACATTAATATTTAATTATGTTCCTTGATTAAAGGCTTTTGTACAAGAAATTTACATATAGATGATACATTCAAATGATTTTCACAACTCTCGGATGAGATCGCAAGAGTCAAAAAATGTTCATAACTGGACTTAATCGCAGTTATCAGGGTGAGACAACTCGTACACAATCAATAAGCAATCGATTCAGGGAAAACTGACGAAGTTCAGTCAATTTATTCAACTCAGGGCGAGTTCAGTAAGTCCGATGGCCGGAAGACGAAATTGAGGCAATCGAACTCTCAATTAATCAAAGTAAACCACCAAAGGGTTATGCGAGTTACCAGGTCGGTAATTGTCAGTGAGGTATTCAACGCTCACTACCTTTCCAGCAATTCTCCAAAGGAATGCACTGATGCGTTTGCGGCTCTCCAAAGGAGCTCTTCTAGCCAAAGGTTGGCTTCAATTCCACGGGGTCTAAGAACGCCCCTAACAAGTGCAGAAATCTCGAGCTCCGAGAGAGATTCTGACTTCTCAATCTTCTCAAATCATTCGATCTCGAAAATCGAGTCTCGAATCTCCCGTCCTTACACTTTAAACCCCTACGACGAGCCCCTATGAGGCGTGGCCGAAAGGTTAAGTCTCAGGGATTTGTCCGGTGGCTGACCGCAATTTCCAACCACTAGCTGAGCTCTCTTTCTCATTTCATCATTGGCAGAGGGTCGAAACCTAAAGGGTTCCTTTGGCGGCACCCTGGGAGGCCGAACTCGGTACTGTCCTTTCAACTCCCTCGGGTTATGTAAGCTGGGTTGGATTTTATGACTCTGGATAACGTCGCGGTCTTTCCTTTTCGGTGCCTTAGGGAGTTCGTAGGTGGTCGGGATCCCGTGGGAAACTTCAGAGCAAGGGGAGACCTCACACCACCCTTTACTCCTCCTCCCCCACACGGCGGATTTCCGATTTTTCTTTCAATGTAACCCAGCCTCGTCGAAGGGAGTCCCAATCTAGGCAAAACTATTGTTTTCCCGCTACCCTCGGAACGAGGTCCTCAAATCGCCAAACGACCATTCCAATCAGTTTTCAAACTATTCGGAATTCCGTCACTTTAATCCATTTGAGCCAATTTTCATCGCTTTTAAAAACTGACGATTGGTTTTTTCCTTCACGTGTTCCAAAAATTCCACAGAGGAGCGACGGTGAATAACCAGCTTTAGGATGGTGGAGGGATCATCACGACCTGGGATGTGCTGTTCTAGCTCTGTTTCGTTTCCCAACTATTCGTAGAACAACAGATATTAGGAACTAGAAGAACAGGAGGATCAACAGATTTGGTTGGCACTTTCGAGTAATTGTGCATTTCTTATTTTTATTCTTATCGCTTTTTCCTCTTCAAATTTCTTATAAACTTTATTTTTATTTGCCGTTTAAAGTCAATTCTTAAAGTTAAAATGAATTACTTTGTGTTTTTTTCTTGTGTTGTGTTTCGGTTTCCGCCTATTCTTTCCCCCTCTCTGTTTTCCTTATGTTTTTCCCTTTTTACTTTCTCGTATACGAAGTATCCAAAGAGAAATTATTGTAATCGTCAAAAAAATTCTAACTCGAGATGTTGACGAATCTCCACGTTTTAGACCTCCCTGATTCCGAAAAACACAATTTGGGAATTATGTCTGTCTGTGTGTCTGTATGTCTGCGTGTGTGTCTGTGAACACGATAACTCAAAAACTATTAGAGATAAAGGGATGAAATTTGATATGTGAACTTGAAACATAATTTGTAGGTTTCTATCAAATTTTTGGACAAAATCTGTCAACGGGAAGTCTGTCTGTCTGTACGTCCGCGGTCATGTGAACACTATAACTCAAACACTTGAATAGCTAGATGGCTAAAATTTGTTACACAGTTTTATCGTCATGAATGTAGGTGCGTATAAAATTTTGGGCCAAATCCGTCAAAGGGTTGACTGTCTGTCGGTCTGTATAATCGCATACTTGTTCAGTTTTGAAACTAACTTCCTGCGCATGCCTACTGGTGGCAATGCCTGTGCACAGAAGAAGGGCCGCTCCGAAAACTTGGCAGTTTGCCAAAAACCAATTCTGGCGCGATTTTGTAAGGAAGCAAACATTTAGGGAGTCTCGCCAGGTCCTGTTGCGCAAAAGAATGCGCAGGGGATTTGAATTTGTTTTGATCCTTCAAACCACGCGTGGTTCCAACTTTGGTTTACTTGCGACGGAAGTTTATTTGACGTCTTTTATTATTCTAGTTTTCTCTACATGTGTTAGGAGTATACGAGAAAGTTTAGGGGAGACCACTCCCGCTGGTTATGTTATGTACTACCGTTGACGCTCGTTTTAACGACCACTCATTATAAAGATCATTCCATTATAACGACCAGTGATAAATCCCCAACTGTGTTTCCCTATGCACTATGTTATTTTACTTCCGGTATAACGACCGTCCAGTGTTGTCTAATCCCAATACAACGTTCGAATTCAGCGAACACTCTTCCCGGTATTTTTTCAAAATTCCTTTATTTTCTACTTTAAAATCTATTTTAGAAATATATTTTTAATACCAATGATAAAAAATAAGTTCAGTATTTAGTTGGAATCTCTTTAAAAATAGCCTATTTTTACGGAACTGCTGAGCGTGCATGCGTACATTTTTTAATTATATCCACTATAGCGACCACTCGTTATTTTGCTGTGGGACGCAGAGGGTCGTTATAACGAGCGTCGACTGTATTCGCTTTGTATTAGTTTTTGTTTTGTCTGTGTATTGTTTGTTTTGCATTCTTTGTGTTTCGTTTGTTTCGTATTTTACCACGTTTTTATTAACTCGCTTTCTTGTCTGTCTGTCCGTCTGTTCGGTACAAATCTTGCGATCGATTTTAAACTAACTTCCCGATGAGCTGGAGACTTGAAACTTTAAACATAGTTCAGAACTAGATGACAATGCATTATTAATTCGCTTTCTTGTCTCTGTCTGTCCGTTTGTCTGTCATTTCATATTTTGCATGACGCATCCGCAATACGTTTTTCATTATATCTCGAAAAGTATTAACATTACAGACTTGGTTCTTGGATATAAGGATGGCCCATGGGACCATCGAAGCACCTCATATTTTAGCCATATTTTTGCGCATGCGCAGTACGTTTTTCATTATATCTCAAAGGTCTCTGCGTCACATAACTTACTTTTTCAGGAAAATAACAATTTTCTATTTATAATAAGGTGAAGAGAAACTGAAATAAACCTGAAATTTGCCACATGTCTCCGTCATAATCTCATCAAGATGTTTAAAAATCGATTGCAAAATTTCACACACAGAAGACTAAAAAGCAGAAAATAATTATTTAAAAAAATAAAAATTTTAATAGACCACGTTTTTAAAACGGACTAAAAAGTATAAAATAATTTCTTCTAGCCCCATACAGATTTATAACCCCATACAGATTTAAAACGAAAAACGTGGGGCGCATGCAATATTTAGGTAGTAGCTGTCGTAGGGAGTAGCTGTCGTTGAGAAAACTCACACAACAGTTCATATCATTTTCATTGCAATAAAATTGTTAGTGACTGAAATAAACTATTTATGCATCAATTATCTATTACATGCGCCCCACGTTTTTCGTTTTGAATCTGTATGGGGTTATAAATCTGTATGGGGCTAGAAGAAATTATTTTTTACTTTTTAGTCCGTTTTAAAAACGTGGTCTATTAAAATTTTTATTTTATTTAAATAATTATTTGTGTTTCGTTTGCTTTGTATTTCTGGGTTTAATTTGCTTTGTGTCCTGTTTTGGGTTGCGTATTGTATTGTTATCATCGCCGTTTTGTAGCTGTTATGTCAATAAATGCAATAATTCTGCGACGTTGCTCTTAAGCAATACCTCTATTTAAATATTTAACTTGCCTTTTTAAATATGGTGAGGTTGCTTGTAGTTGAAGCCCGCAACCCCAATTCGTGCTCATGTTTCTCTTTCCCGGGGGAGTCTTCAAGTGACTCTACAACCATTGGGTTGAGTCGACCTTCCTGGGTTATGGAATGGAATCGGCAACGGCAACGTGGTTTAGATTGCGGAGTTTCGCTCTGTGAGAAGATATCACTTTGCACCTCCACATCAGAATTCATAAAAGGGAATTTAATTTAGAAATTGACATAACCGAAAAAAGAATTTGGAAAAAGGGAGAGGACCTGCTCTCTAGAATGCAGGAAGCAATGGTGGGAAAGTTAAAAATAAAAGAATTTACGTTGCTCGTTACCCTCAGCAAAGAAACTGCTGCTGGCTAGGCAAATAAGAAGAAAGATGGGAAAAAGCACGAAAATACGGTGAATAAATTTGATCGGTGGGAATGCAGAAGTAAAGACGCGTAGTACAACGTAGCAAATAATCGAAAGGGAATTTTGAATTTATTTTAGACACCCATATTGGTAGGAGTTGTATAAATTCTTCATCCTTCGGCGTTCTTGCGAACGTTCGAAGTAACTTCCAATCCGAAATATCACGAGACGCGACGTCTGGTCGCGGGGGTAGCCTCGACGACGGAGGATCCCTATTTTAAAAAGATGCCAACAGCACGCGGTGTTCCTAGGTGGTCACCCTCCCAAGTATTGACCGCGCTTAACTGCGGTGATCAGACGAGAACCGGTGCTTTCAGCATGGTACGGCCGTTGGCTACGGAATGGTAAGAATGTTGCGCATTTAAGTCCCTAATGGATAATGTGCTTTGCCAAACTGTCGAATTCATCAAATATGAGCAGACGTTTCTGGTGCCTCTTGCATTTAATCCTTTAAAGGTGTAGTTTCTTGTACCATCTAATCGGATGACACCCCCTCTGTTTCGGGGACGCACTGATTCGACTTCATTTCCACAGAACACCCGAGTTTTTAACGGATTGCCGGTCATTTTTATATCGTCCATGAATGACTTAATGTTAGCTCATAAGTTCGCAACTGACGTAATGCGAAGCACGAGGGCAACTCGGGCAAACACTGATCAAGGGGTTAATAAGCGAGCCCTTACTTTTGCTCCACGGATTGAAGAGTATGTACACATTCTGACGTAATGCGATGCACGAGGGGAGCTCGGGCAAACACTGATTAAGGGCTTAATAAGAGAGCCCTTACCTTTGCTCCACGGATTGAAGAGTATGTACACATTCTGCGGTATCTCGAAGACGACCGGTTCCATGCTCATGTTCCCGGGCACGTACGAGTAGATCTTCATCTTCCAGACGCCGACGGGTGCTGTGCCGGCCACCTGTATGTCGAGGGTGACGAGGGCCCCCTCGTGCTGGTGGGTGCGGATGTCCCACATCGCCTTCTCCCGGGTGAAGGCGGACTGGTTGGTGATGGGGAGGCTCACCAGGTTGCCCTTCTGCGTGAGGTACGGGGGAGGACCTGAGGGGGGAAAATAGTTTCAGAAACAATTATTGGCAATATATATATATTGTTACAAAAATGTAATGTTTCTTTCTTGCCCTTCTAATCTTATAGTTGGAAACAGAGTTTTATACGGGTACGTACGGCATGCCCGGTCTCGAACCCCTATCCTTGACGATAAATCGAAGTTTCTCGAAAAGGCGATAATTTTCTCGATATCTCTATTAAGAGAGGAGATATGCAGAATGTACTAGATAATTCCAATCAAAATGTGAATGGTAGTCAACTAAAAATAGCTATTATTCCCTTCACTTTGATCACGTGTCTATCTGTTAAATACCTACCTGAGAAAATGTAGGGATTTTCTGTTCTCTTTTTGACTTGAAACTTAAACCAAGATGTACGAACATTCCGTCACTCTCCCATAATAAAGGAAAATTGGTTAATAACTCGGCCTGTTTTCTGTTTAACGAATACAACAAAGAATTCATTTTATATATGTATTAATCTCACTTAACTTTGTTTTAAATTCTAATGTTATATATTCTAAAGTCTTAATGTATTCCAAAATCACTTTTCTGAAACTCCAGTTTCGTTTCATTTCCCGCGCTGGAGGTATATTAAATCTCGCGTTTTGGCATATTTATTACTAACAGATTATTTTAATCGCTTCTAAGCGCCAACATAAATCTGGAAATCGGCGACTTGTTGGCATCAGACTTCTCCCTAAAACACTTAAGTAATTTAGTAAAAATAGCTATTATTCCCTTCACTTTGATCACGTGTCTATATGTTATTCCCTTACCTGAGAAAATGCAGGGATTTTCTGTTCTCTTTTGGCTTGAAACCTTAATATAAGATGCACGTATGTCTGCCACTCTCTTTAAAAATGACTCAAACATTTCGATAATAAGAGAAAATGAGAATATAACTCGGCTTTTTACGGACTACAACCACGAAGAGAGAGACCTTAGCGACAAATCTAAGTTTCTCGAAAAGGCGATAATTTTCTCGATATCTCTATTAGGAGGGGAGATATGCAGAATGTACTAGATAATTCCATGTGACGTCACGGCCAGTCGAGCAAGAGTATGTAAACGGAGGCAACCGAAAGGAGGGAAGGAGTTTGGAATTTCGTGTGCAGTGCGAGCTGGAAAACCAGTGAGCTGAGGGCTATTGAAAGTGCCTTTACTGTCATTATTAGTGATTTGCTGACTGTTTGTGTTGCTAAATCCGAAAGTTCTTTTACTGTTATTATTAATGAGCTGTTGTCTGTTTGCGTGCACGATTCACGGGAAAAAATCCACACCTCTACCTGGCAATAAATATGTAGCAAATTTAACAAATTTATTATAAACAGTATTATGAATTCTTTACAAAAGTACATAAAATATTTTTATGTTTACAGGGTGTTCTAAAATTCGACCGCCAAACTTCTAGGCGTAATTGAACATGTCAAGACAAACAACTTTTCCAATAGAAAATGGGGTCGCAAACGCAAAGGTCGACCGCTACGGGGTTCTCATTGCCAGTGAATTCAATAAAAGATAAGGAAGGGAATATGAGATCAAGTATGCAACTCGAGTTCATCGGAATACAAATTCACAATAGCACAACTACACAATTGCACGAATAATAACACGCGACGTGTGTATTGCTTCGGATGGCAAGTCCTTCGAACACTTACTTTAAGTTACTTCGAAGGTTTGTTGCTGATACCGAGTCGTACTTGCCATTGTATCTGTCACGTTCCGCACGAATTTCAGTGTTGTTATTCGTGCAATTGTGTTGTTGTGCTATTGTGAATTTGTATTCCGAAGAACCTGAGTTCAATACTTTATCTCATATTCCCTTATCTTTCACTTAATTCACTGGCAAAGAGCATTCTTTGCCTTTGCGTGTGCGACCCCGTGTTCTATTGCGAAAGCTGCTTGTCTTGATGCGTACGATCACCCATAGAAGTTTGTCGGTCAAATTTTGGAACACCCTGTGTATGAGGTTACAGATTTCCGCTGTGCGCGCTGTCTGTCTGAATAAGAAAAAAGTAAAATTACGTCTCAGAAATTTTACTTTAAAGTTAGATGCGAGAGTTTTTGATACAACCTGCGGACGACAAAATGTGTTACCGGTTGATATGTTACGGTTAAAGTAAAAAATTCTGGAAATATTACCGGCAGCTTGTTACTATTAATGCTAATCACCACTTGTTGTTCATAATAACCGCGTAATCGCATTGACCGTAAGATATTGTTACTGAAAACGTTGTATGGTGTAAACAGTCCAACACGCAGGAGAATGGAGGATGATGGTTTATTCACAAATATGGAGGAAAACATGTAGCAGAGGTAACAGGAAACAATAGATATTGCACAGATTAGCAATGTAAACAGACAATAATTCACAGGTAGTAACAGTTCAGCACTCTGAGATTTAGGAACACAAACAGTCAGCAAATCACTAATAACGACAATAACAGCACTTTCAATAGCGCTCAGCTCACCAGATTTCTAGCTCGCACTGCAGACGAAACTCCACAGTCGTTCCAGTGGATCAACACACACTGCTCTCTGATCCAAGACCGGCCCTTATATACTCTCCCCGACAGGCCGTGACGTCACATGGAGTTTCTCGTACATTCGAGCGTATTTTCTCTCCTAATAGAGATATCGAGAAAAGGATCGCATTTTCTGGAATCATCGATTTCTCGCGAAAATGGTGTCCAAGGTCAGAGGTCCCTGAATGGCCGCTACCCGTCACTCCATGCTAACCCCTGTAAAACTCCCTCCCCATCTATAATACTAGCAATTCAAGAAACCGACATTGCATCTTTGTAGCAATCATACATAACACCACTTACACGTCCCGTCTTCCATGATCGGCAGAAAACAGATATACAGAGTGATACAAAAGTCCGGAAATTTTTCAGAGACGATACTTTTAAGCGAAAGACCACAGAAGGATGCCCGGAAAGGAGGTAAACAAAGTGAAAATTTATTCGGTGGCATCATGTGTCTACTTTCATCGTGGTCCAATAGCTAATTCCTAAACCATCAGAGATAGGAATACAGTTCCAATCGGAAAAATGTTCTAAATGAGAAGATTTATAATTTATGCTGTTTGATCAACAACTATATTCCTGAAAAAGTTACGAATTATAATTTTTATACGGTCCCCCGGTCCTATCAGTTATATTTAGTAAAATATTCTCGACACTCTAACATTTTAAACAAAAACAATCCTTCTCTTCTGCGACTGAAACTGACCGAGTTACGGAGCTTTGAATTCCATGATTTTTAACCAATCAACGGCCTCGTCGAGCAAGCGCTGCGCATGGATGGGTGGATTGTCTTCGAGACGGCTATTGAAATGGTGTAAAGTGGTCTAAGTCGGCGATATTCAAAGCTCCCCAGAACATTTTTTCAAAGCACAGAACCATTTTTGTTGGTCATGTCCTACCACCCTGAGGTGTGGTGAAAAAAATAATATATTCGCAAACTTATAAAATTCTGGTACGCAATGAATAAACCGGAAACCTGTTTCGGTTAACCGGTTTTTTGGGTTATTTTTTTCTCCCGGTTATAACCGGTTATTTTGGTACTTACGTATTAACGCCACCGCAGCTACAGATTGGCGGTAATGCGCCAATAAAGAGATTGGCGTAAGTACAAAAACCGCCAAATCTGTAGCTGCGTTGGCGCTAATACGTAAGTACAAAAACCGCCAAATTCGCGGCACTTAAACACCGCCAAATCTGTTGCTGCGGTGGCGTTAATACTTAAACACCGCCAAATCTGTGGCTGCGTTGGCGTTAATACTTAAACACCGCCAAATCTGTAGCTGCGGTGGCGTTAATACGTAAGTACCGTTATTTTTTTAAAATCCAATAACAGGGTAAAACAACCGGATCGGAAGATAGGCTCAATTTTAGGTTCGACTAGACTAAAATTGAGCAAGTTATGAAGCTTTGAATTTCATCATCTTAGATTAATCAACGACAAACGCTTCCTCGAGGCGTCTGTTGGTTGGGTATTGCTGAAAGAGTCTTTATGAACATATAAATATTGGCCAATGGATTGATTTCCTGTACAGACAATATCAATAAAAAATGTGTTTATAAGCAGTGTTTGCATTTTTATAAGAAAACCGGTTATTTTGAGCGGTTTTAACCACCAGGGTAAACCGGAAGTGAAAAGAAACTGAATGACCGAAAACCGGTTATTTTTAGCGGTTTTAACCACCAGCTTAAACCGGAAGTGAAAAGAACCTGAATGACCGAAAACCGGTTATTT